CAGAAATTGCCAGGTTTGACAAAACCAAGCTGAAGAAGACTGAGACAAAAGAGAAGAACCCTCTGCCCACCAAAGAGAGTGAGTGTCTGTTACATTACAGCATTCAGTGTGTCCAATCACTTTGGGTGTGGTGTAGGTCTCTCTAACCTGTCTACCATCTCCCTTTATTTATCATTTTGTTTCAGCCATTTCTTTGTCTTCTATCTTATATCCCCTTCTCTATTTTTCTTCCAATCTCACTCTGCTCAGTCTTTTTTCAGCTTCTTATGTCAGCAGATGGGTCTCAGCTCAAAGTACTCCATCAGCATTGCAGTGCAGACCTAAGCATGCTCGCAGAATTTCCCATGTGAATAAGCATCTTAGCAATAATGCCACGCTCCCTCATCCCAACACATCTCTCTCTCTCTCTTAAGAAGCTCTACTGGCACAATAAAGGTATTTAAGCTTCTTAAGCATTAAAAACATTTACATTTCATCTTTTTCTGTTTTCAGCTATCGAGCAGGAGAGGAAAGGCGATGCCACACCGTGACCTAAGAGACAAGGAGAAGAAAAGCACAAGACATGTTCTTCTGACATGGCAGATATTACAATTCCTATTTCTGTTTAAAGGGTGCTATTGCCCCATGTGATGCATGGTTACCATGGCGATTGGAGTCACTGGGGCCTATGAATGGGAGTGTAATGAAGGGGGATGACTTGAGACAGGGTTTAAAATAGATATTTTACCAAATTCTGTTCAGTGCATTTTTTATTATTATTTTTTAAAAAGGGTTTCTTCATTAAATAAAGACAAATGAAATGTAAAACAAATAAAATACCAAATATGACTCCTCTTTTTTAAATTATATTTGTTTAGGCATAAGTAAATGATTATTCAAAACACAAAGTCAAAGTCTCTTGTGCTCACCAAGGCTGCATTTATTGGATCAAAAATACAGTAAAAAATATTATTACAATTTAAAATACTTCTAAAATTACTTTTTTCTATTTTAATATATTTTAAAATGTAATTTACTTCTGTGACGGCAAAGCAACCATTAATCTTTGGTGTCACATGATCCTTCAGATATCATTCTAATGCACTGATCTGAGAAACATTTCTTATTATCAATGTTGAAACATTTGTGCTGCTTAATATTTTTGTGGAAGTTTTTTTTTTTTTTTTTTACAGTGCTTTAATGAATAGAAAGTCTTTACTGTCACTTTTGATCAAATTAATAAATCCTTGCTGAATAAAAGTATTATTTCCTCAGCCAAAAACCATACTGGCCCCAAACTTTTGAACGGTTGTGTAATTCATGTGTCACACACTCTTGGACACCAATGGTGGGGTAAGCAAACAGGTTTGAGAAGAATACATCACTTGAATGAAAGTTTATCACATTAATCACAAAAAACTTTCACAATCTGCCTGATTTGACCAGAAATAAAATATATATTGCATGCATCTTCTTGAAGTAGAAGGCAAAGATAGGCTATGTGCTAGAAAGCCATGGATTTAGTGCTTGTAATAGATTACTTTAGAAATACATGATTACGTTAGTGGTTACTTCAAACATATTCTAGTTTTCAACCTGGCATAAACTTAAAAGTAGGGTGACCATATTTTAGTTTTCCAAAAAGAGGACAGTGGCAGGGCGGAGGGGTTGGGGTGTGGTTGGTTGGTGGTTAAAGTAGTGCCCAAAGTATATATCCCAAATATCAAAACATCAAAATATGCCATTTCCATATCTAAAATACATATATTACAGTCACTGTTATGCATATTGATCATAAACACAGCTAAAAAGCTTCCTACCAGTGGCCCTCCTTACTTAACAGCACAGTTTTATCATAGGTAGAATGCAAAATGTTTCAATACAAGCATTTCAGTCAAATTTAATTTATGCAACATTTCAAACCTTTAACCCACGGGGGGAAATCAACCCATGGCAACAGTTTAAAGGTAGCCCAATTCCATGGAGAAAAAAAAGCGGACTTGACAACCCTGCATCCATCACGAGCTGCAGGAGTCAGATTTCACTGATCAGGGGTTGAGAGGAGAGATGGCTGACAGACCATGCTGGAGGATTTGCTGCTCAACAGATCCTGAGCTCATTGGCAAATATCTGATCATCTTTTACACAGAGCGCGCATGATCGCAAAATCGAAATTGAAAGTGAACAGCAAGCGCTCATTCAAAAGAGATTATACTCCGCATACTGATAGCGGCTGAGGAGCAGGCGCTAATGGTCACAAATTCAGCGGGAGCGGGATTAAGAAAACAATCCCTCGCAGGGCTCTAATTCAAAAACGCACATGATGAATTGCGTCTGCAGAAAGCAAAAGCCGATCCCGGACATTTTGGGCGATTTAGAAATCCCGGCCGGACACATTTTTTTAGGTCCAAAAAGAGCACATGTCTGGGAAAAAGAGGACGTATGGTCACTCTATTTAAATTCAGAATGGTGTTAATAGAAGGACAACCAAACGTGTATTTTATAAAAGTGTAAAATAAACGAGTTTGTTTTGTGGTGTGGCCAGCAGGGGCGCCACGATTAATAATAGCCCAGCGGTTCTTAATCCTGGTCCTCGGCTCAAACATCGCTGATTATCCGATACTAGGCCTACGTGCATTTTACAGGGCTATTCTTGTTTTTACATGAGGTGCTAGAGGACGCACCTAGATCTCCTTTGAATTCAATTATGGTCCAGATGTTATTGAGAAGCGCGGCTGCGTTCTGGCGTCACTGTTCTTGCCACCCATCTACCGCACTCTGAACACCACAGTGCTTCTCCGACCCTTATCGTCTTTTATGACCAACTTATCTCTCTCGAAATCTGACATAACTAAAACCAATAAAGTAAACTGATAAATAATTACAAACACAAATAAAAAGCAAAATGTCTTTATTTGGTTTAGTCTATGTTGCTCGTGCAGACACCTAATGAACGGGTCCTTTTCGCAGAATGTATGCATATAGAAAGGTTTATAAGGTATGTATGACGTTAATTCCCGGACCTACGGAGTTATAGGCTATTCGAGAAACATTAAGTTAAATGTTTTCTTTTATGACGAACGTTTTAAATTCATGTATTAAAGGTCACTTTTATGTTTGGGAGATTTTTTGCTTCCATAAAAGTCTGAAATTACTGAAAAAGGGAACGTTGGAATAGGTTAAATGTTTTGCGTAAAAAGTGTATAATTGTTTCTTAAATCAACAAATAAATATTAAAATATTTATATTTTATAAAAATACTGAAATACATTTTGTTATGTGACAAAAACTATGCAGAGGATCTTTATTTCAAGGTCATTGTATAACTTTTTTTAATTACCAAATATTCGACCATTTTATGAAAAGGCGCGTTTGCAAAACAACCCACATTTCAAATAATATGTCATGTGTTTTGTATTTCCTTCCTTAATCACAAAACAAGGCGAAAAGCCTTAACAGCATAGGCTAATGACTACCTGAGCCCCTGAGTGACTCGTCAAAATGGATCATCTGTGCAACAAGGTGAGCCATGTTCCCTGATTTCAGTCTGACTTGGGGAGTAAAAGCTGTGGTGATGATCGTCTAGCCATTTTTAATCCTTACTTTGTGATTATTCCTTTATTGCACACATTTGTCAGTCACATGAATTAAAGCGTGAAAGTAAGCGATGCGTCAGTTTTTCAGTTTGTTACCCCATAAAACCATTCTGAGATATCTGCGACAGAACGTTTATGGCACGACGGTCCCATTTAGGTTAGGTCTGCTTGTACCAGATCATTGTTTGATACGGGTTTGTTTTTGTAACAAGTAGGTGTGGGAATTTGGGTTTCAGGCACCATGTAGACTTGATGATGCCGATGTCCAATTAGTGGGGATTATCCTCACTTGCGCGTCCCTCCATTGTCTTCCAGCCAGCAGCATTGGTTAAACCATTATCCGACCATCAAATAAATGCTGTTTTGAAAAGGGATTGTGAGTGTCTACCGATTTGATTCGAAGATGTCAATACTTGGTTTCAACAATTAATCTTCCACGAGCAACAATTTCTAAAAAATCACATCTCCATATAGCGTATTAATTAATCGCAAAAGTCATCGAAAGTAAAATGATGAAATATAATCATTCTCATGATTGTCCTTTTGTTTACATTTTTCAGCTGTTGACCACTTGGTGACAAATAATAACTTAGTGCGAATTGGCTTATTTGACACATGATTGAATTGTCAACAGTAAGAACTAAGTTATGAAAACTAGTTGCCCTATTATTAAAAACTAGGATTTATGTCTCCTATTAAAAAAAAAAAAGAATAAGAAAAAATGAACTTTTTTAAGCATATGATGTGTACCTTTTTTGATAAACCAGTGAAATGACATACAGTATATGGGCAACTTAAAAATGAAAAATGTATACATTATGGCACAAGTCGTATGGGTCAAATGATGGAATAAATCGTATGGATTGATAAATACATATTTGCAGACTAGTATTATGACATGTTGCAGTCTATACATGTATCGGACTACATTTACAGACATTTTCACACCAGAGCTGTTCCCAGGGGATCAGCTGGTCTTCTGTTAACACCAGAGTGTCAGAAGCGCAGACGTGTTACATGTTATTTGCATGGCCTTTAGCGAACGGAGCCGAATGATTTCATGGCTTTTTGTATACAGTGAAGAGCAGCCCCTTACATTTCAGTGTCATTTCCCGGTGAAAAACTTTCCCAAAACGTGAAGAGTCAAGACTCAAATAAAGAACATCTATAAAGTCAAGAAGCTTAACCAACCCGACAAGAATTTAAAATGTTAAATGGGGTGTTACTATACAAGCTTGTGTATATTTATGTTTTTTATTGTGTATATATAGAATAGTCTAGTATTATTTCTAAACTAATAAACCCTTAATTTAAGATGGCAGATAAAAGGGCTATTCTGATGCAAAAATGCATGTCCAGTGGTAGGCATGTCCAACACGGAATAAACAATCAGCGTATTCATGAATAGCCTACACTACACAACACCTTCAACAAGTCTAATGAATGGATATTAGACGAGCAGTTTGATGGGTTTGGACAGTCCAATTCATTCAAATAGTCTTTCAAATACACAAATGGTAGCACATTAAAGTTGCAAGCATAATGTTGAACGGACAGTAACTTGAGTAACTAAATAGTCGGGTAAAAGAGTTTATCAATGAACATACTGAAACAACCCTCATCATGAAAGATGGGTTAATGAAAGCTAGACTGAAGGGCTTAGGGAAAAGTGTTAATGCTTTGAAGTGCAGTTAAGGCCACACAATTCCAGTGACCTCCTCGACGTCTTTTCACAGCGAATTGTCAAAGGTTGGGAGATGCCCGTCAGTCAAAGTTGGCGACAGGTATAAATGCCTTGCTCGTTCGAGCACTCAGTCACTTGTCTTCTGTCTCTTCCTGGGTATCCATATCAGTGTTTGTGCCTTGCATCTCCACAAGAAGGGAGCATCGAAGAATCAGGGGTCGCTCACGCAGCAATGAACCCTTGCCAGCTTTTTTCATCGTTGGTGATGTCTATGTGCTGTCACATACTGTCGACAACAGCATGGTACATACATTTTTTACAGAATATTTGAAATATGTTATTATATTTTAGTTGTTTTGTCACTGGTATTTATTAACAAAACTTATGTTAACGTCATGCTTTTTTCTTCTCTTTTTCAAGGTCGGTGAATAACTTCCTGATGACAGGACCAAAGGTAATTTAAGTTTCTATATCTATGTGCAGCGATATTTAATTTATTTGACATGCTATTTATTACATATCAAAATGTCTGAACGTACAATGTCTAATTAATGCACGTATTTTACATCTACCAGGCTTACCTTACATACACCAGCAGTGTGCAGGCAGGGGCTCAGAGTGGTATTGAAGAGTGTAAACATCAGTTCGCATGGGACAGGTGGAACTGTCCGGAAAGCGCACTGCAGTTATCTACACATAACGGCCTGCGAAGTGGTAAGCCCTATTATTCGCTTTAAGCAAAATCAGATTATGTATTCTGCTTTAATTTTTCACTCTTAACAATGAAGGTTTTACAGCCTTATGTTGGAGAACATTTTTTAAATTCCACCAAGATGTATTTTTTTATACTTTGTGCAGAAACTTATATTGTAACACCAAAAACTTGCAAATACGTACTTTTCTCATATATTACTTTGAAAATGCATTGCATTTAACATGTTCTAATAATGAACTTATTATTTATTATTATTAGCCACCAGAGAGACCGCTTTTGTGCATGCCATAAGTGCTGCTGGAGTTATGTATACTTTGACAAAGAACTGTAGCATGGGGGACTTCGATAACTGTGGCTGTGACGACTCCAAGATAGGAAAAATGGGTAAGACATTTTTTATTATTTATTATTATGAACTACACTTATCTGTAATTACAATTATTACATGTCTTCAGACCAATAACGGTTTTCTTTTTTCAAAGGTGGACGTGGTTGGGTTTGGGGAGGCTGCAGTGACAATGTTGACTTTGGAGAAAGAATCGCTAAACAATTTGTGGACACGCTGGAAAATGGTCACGACTCGCGCGCTGCAGTCAACCTGCACAACAACGAAGCTGGTCGACTTGTGAGTATAATTGTATTCTCTTATTTATCTACTTTCTCTAGTCAAACGAAACACGTTTTATTGCAGCACGTGAGTGCATATGGCTAATGTGAAACTTTATATATTTCAGGCTGTCAAAGCAACACTCAAAAGGACCTGTAAGTGTCATGGTGTATCTGGAAGCTGCAGTATTCAGACATGTTGGATGCAGCTGGCTGATTTCAGAGATATCGGTACCTATCTGAAAATCAAGCACGATCAAGCACAGAAGCTGGAGATGGACAAAATTCGGATGAGGGCAGGCAACAGCGCGGACAATCGCGGCGCAATCGCGGACACGTTCAGCACCGTTGCGCGCACAGAACTCCTTTATATGGAAGATTCTCCAGACTATTGCGCGAAAAACCTCAGCCTGGGACTACATGGAACAGAAGGCAGGGAATGCCTACAAAGCGGAAAGAATCTTTCTCAGTGGGAGAAGAGAAGCTGCAGGCGGCTCTGCCACGAATGTGGTCTGAAAGTTGAAGAGAGGAGGATAGAGACTGTGAGCAGCTGTAACTGTAAATTTCACTGGTGTTGCACAGTCAAATGCGAAACATGCACTCAGACTGTGAACAAGTATTTTTGCGCAAAAAGGCATAAAAACCGTCGGCCGCACAACAATTCACGCAAAAGACAGCATGCGCGTAATAGATGAAGTCATCATCTTTGCCAGTATATTAAGTTGTATATTTCCAATGTAAATATATTTTATATGAGATTTTAAGATATGCTGCTTTTCTCTTACTGTATATTATTCTGCACATTGTTATAACGAAAAATGTCAATTCGAACCCCTGTATAAGACACAAGGGCTTCCTCGTTCCCACTGTCAGTTGGATTGATCACATACTAAGTTCTAATTTCACGTAGACATAAGTTCATTATTTGCACTTTTTCGTTCTCCACATTAGACCACAGATTTACTTACAATTATGTTGAAAGATTGTTTTGAATACTTGCACCATGTTTTTTTTTTTTTCCTTTCTCGCACAGATCACTTGACAGTGTGTAATGTTTCTCAAGGGGCTTGAAGTGTTGTTATGGAACTTATTTAAGGCAATTAATTTTTAACTATCACATTGTTATTATTTTTAAACTATCACATTGTGTTTATATATATATATATATATATATATATATATTAAATTGACTTATTTTGTCGTGGGAAGCATATTAAATATTTAAAACTAAATTACTGTCTCCGAGTGGTCAATTTTACTGCGCATGTTTGACAACTGGTTCAAATGTTTATTGGTGAATAAACGGTGTAAAATATTTCCCAATCGCACTTGAATTATGCATCAGCTCCAACGACATTTAGACCCGTGGAGAGAGAAAAAGCTGTAGTGTATTGATATCCTTTTAAGTTCATTGGAGGCGTTTCCTTGACTTGGCTGGTGACTGTGGACCAATAGCATGACAAGAATCCTGTAACAAAAGGTATTCTGGCCCCCGTTGGGAGGAGTATAAAATACATGACGGCACATCATTTTCTCAAATCAGTACATTGCCTGCTATATCACTGTGGATCCAAGATAATGGCTTATTTCTTCCTTTGGGTCTTTTTATTCTTTATTTGCGACAAAGCTCTCCCTGGGGACACATGGTGAGGATGCATTAGCGAATTATTATCAGTTGTTGTAGCCTAATGTAAACATAATTGCTCTTGTTAACATAACGCGTATTATGTTTTACCTTTTGCTTCCTCAGGACAATGAACAATTTGCTGATGACTGGACCAAAGGTAATCTATTTTCCTAGCTTCAAAAAACGACCGCCTTCGTGAAATCGCTTTACGGAAAATACACCACAACACCATCTGGGTTTGTGGTGTGTGTGAAATGTACAGAAAACCTCACATCAAAATCCTCAACACCTTTCTCTTATCTTCTTCCTATAGGCTTATCTTACCTATGCAAGTAGTGTGCAGGTCGGTGCGCAGAGCGGGATGCGTGAATGCAAGCATCAGTTTGCTTGGGACAGGTGGAACTGCCCGGACAACGCGCTGCAACTTTCTACTCATAAAGGCTTTAGAAGTGGTTAGATATGTTCATAAATGTGAGCTGTTTCTCTCTAAACATTGAAAACAAAGCCTGAAAAATAAAACTCTTTATTTATTTTCACGACTTCTCTAGCAACGAGAGAGACGTCATTTGTCCATGCAATAAGCGCAGCTGGAGTGATGTACACTCTAACCAGAAACTGCAGTCTCGGAGATCTGGACGACTGCGGATGTGACAGTTCGAGGAACGGCAAACTCGGTAAGAACATTACAGATTGGCTTTAGTTTATTAGCTTATGAGTGTAGCCTATCTAATATAGACTGATTAGCCTAATTTAAAACAGAAATACTAGAACCATATTTGTGTATTAACAATGCAATAAAAATGAAGTATTTGCTGCTTTCAAAACAGTCACGACGCATGTATCTAATGGGATAAACACTATTCATTTCAGGGGGTCGTGGTTGGCTTTGGGGAGGATGTAGCGACAACGTGGATTTTGGCGAGAGAATTTCTAAACAATACGTGGATGCGCTTGAGACTGGACAAGACTCTCGAGCTGCAGTTAATCTTCATAATAATGAAGCTGGACGTTTGGTAAGTTGAGTTGAGAAATACTTTTCATATGTCAAAGTTGTCATACTGTTCTGACAGATTAAAAACACCTGACACCTGAATAGGGATTAAATGATAAAAAAAAATCCAGTATTAAAAATAAACAAATAGCCTATCATTCGGCTCAGAGTTCGCGGGGGGCGCCAAAATACAATTTGGGTTGTGCAAAACGAATCTCACTGTTTTAAAAAAACAGTAATAATAACTAGTGATATGGCAAACTGTAGCCTATTAGGCAAATGAGCAGCTGCTTTTATGGTTACCTCTTCACACAAAAACAACAGCATTTGCTTAGGAAACTAACTTTTGTGGTTACTGAAACTTTTTGAAATTTTGAAAATGTTCTTGACACGTATATATACATATGTATAAAGAATGCATACACAAAAAATCTGTAGATTAACAATAGGCCTACTTTGTGTTTTAGGCTGTAAAGGCGACCATGAAGAGGATCTGTAGGTGCCATGGCATGTCAGAAAGTTGCACAATGCAAACGTGCTGGATGCAGCTTTCTGATTTCCGTGAAATTGGCAATTACCTGAAAGTGAAGCACGACCAGGCCCAGAAACTCGAATTGGACAAGAGACGAATGCGCGCGGGCAACAGCGCAGACAACCGCGTGGCTATGGCAGACGCGTTCGGCTCCATCGCCCGGACTGAGCTCATATATCTGGAGGATTCGCCGGATTATTGCGCGAAGAACCTGAGCCTCGGGCTTCCTGGCACAGAGGGTCGGGAGTGCGTGCAACATGGGGAAAGTCTCACTCAGTGGGAAAGGAGAAGCTGCCGCAGGCTGTGCCATGAGTGCGGTCTGCGGGTGGAGGAGAGGCGTACAGAGATAGTGAGCAGCTGCAACTGCAAGTTCCACTGGTGCTGCACAGTAAAGTGCGAGAACTGCTCTCGGGTCATTGTCAAACACGTTTGCGCCCGGAGACACGGAGGCCACGGGCACCAAAGACGCAAACCTCGAGGACCAAAATAAAACACCCCCTAACAAACTCTTTTCTAATGAGAACACATCCACCTGCACTTTTTCTACAATATTTGCTATTTCTGTACATAATTATATATTAAAGTATTTTAATAAAACTAAGAAACTGAAATTGCTTGTGGTCTCGTTTAATGTTTATGAACCTAAATACGCCCAAACTGAATCAATAACTTAGTTGTGAACAGTTGATATTTCTGTATGTTGAACAACAAAAAGGCATGTCCAAATACGAAAATGCAGTTGAATTCGATTGCAAAAAAATGCAACATAGGCTAAATTATGAAGAAAGAAACATAATAATATATTTTTAGAATAATATATCTATATGATGTGCCTTCCAGTGATGCTTGAAACATTACTGGTCATTTCTGTGAAAAAGACCAACAATCCAAAAACAGTCCAAAATTAAGAACACGCTACTTAAGTGTAAAATGTAAAGTCGACTTCTCTTTTTGCTCCCTCAGATTGCTTTGCTTTCCTCAGACAGATTTCGAATTTTCAACAACCCTGTTGGGCTCATGAATATTAATCACGTTGTCTGAGTTCACTAAAAGTGATATGCTTCAAAACGACGGTGAAAGGTAAGCATTAGACTCACCCACTGCTGCAGCAATCAGATGACAGAGGCTTCTGCATGCTTTTAAATCAATACAAACGGATTCAATTATTTTCTCAAATTATTTTTTCAAAACAAACTTCCTAATTGTAATTATCGCACAGAATGTCGGGGACGAAATAAGTAATTAAATAAGTGATTATCAATTATGACGGTTGCTACGTTCCTATATTGCACTAAGTCATTTGAGCGTTGTATCCCAGACACGCGCCGTCAGAGAGAAAAAAAATAAAACCCTTGAAAAGTAATGATGGGGGTCTCAATTAGTACTACAGTATAGAGCGTTTATTTAATGAATACTCTTGAAGGGATTAACTTTGTCACACTTGGCCCTAGGCGCCTCCCTTGCCTAGAGTCTGGCCCACTTTGATATGCGGGCAGTACGGACAGTATGCTGCCCCGGTGACAAAAGTGTAGACAAAGCCCGTGAGAAACACGCCACCGCTGGAAGGCGTTTGGCATGTTAATCCGCGTTACCGCTGTGTTGGTGTACATAATCACACCTGCGGAAGTCACCACCATGCATGTAAATAAATCAAAGGGAAGGATCTAAATTCCATTATTAGTCACGTTACGAGGTTGAGAACCCATTTAAATTGTAAAACCAGGCCTAGGCTCCTCCGTGTGTCAACATAGAGTGATTATGTTTTACCAAATTGGATGTTATGGCCTAATCATGACATTTGTTTTCATATAATTTATAAGCAGATTTCTCACTTGGTTTGCCTATTACTTGATGCATAGTCAATTTACTCAGTGGGACATGCCATAAATCTGCCAAACTGTCTGGCCTGATGAATGATGGGATATTGGCTCCAGTGGGGGTCTTGACTTCGAGGACAGGGGGTGGGATTCTCAATTCTTCATTTGCTTCCCATGGCTACCTCCATGTATTAAAACAAAAACGATTTCACTTTTGATATTTAAAAAGTAGGCTACTTGACTAAATAATAGCTCACAATGCTTATATATATATATATATATATAATACAGACAAATTTTACTCAAAGTACTCCAATCAACAGAAACAAACCATTCACTCACCACAGAATGCCTATTTGCCTTTTAGGATGCTATGTTTTTTTCCCAGGCCACCCTGCTGAGCTGTGATGAATAAGGAACAAAGTGGCCATCCCCTTAAATACAGTACCATGTTGTTGTCATCTCAGCCATGACCCCTGTTCCCATCCCCTCATTGTCTCTTATTTTACTGACCTTCCACATGGATAGAATCAGGTTGTAATCTAGTGCAGCCCTTTGGTTTACCCACTTCAAAACCCCAGCATTAACAGTGATCCCAGTCTGTTCCACTCCACAAAATACCTATTTCCTTTTAGCTTAAGGATTCCACTTGCGCATGACAAAGACTAGGAATGTGCTGTTTCTTCATCAGAAAGAACTGCCACACTCTCCATCAAGCTAACTACTGACTCCCAGTTATTAGAAGTTCATTAGAAGTTTCTGGCACTATTTTATTGGTTTAATTTTACATGACAGGTCAGTATCGCTGATATCATTATTTGGTTAAGTGCTAGTGCCTCCTACACTGGAAAAAAAATGGTGTAGAAATTATTTTCACTCACAAATTGCTAGTAAATTTCACAAATTATTACAAAGAATCATTTAGTAACACTGAATCAAACATGAAATGTCGAAGCAGAAAGATGGCAAAACATACTCCAATTACCTTTTATTGTTTTATTTTAAATTTTGAAAATCTTTTTTTTTTTTTTTTTGGAGATCTTTTGGGTCTCTGGTTTCTTAAATATCCTAAAATATGTATAACATTATCTAAGGCAACCTATCAAGAATTCATTTAGCACCA